TGCCATTCTGTTTTGATTACTACAGCTTTGTAACATAACTTGAAGTCCAGAATTATGATGCCTGCAGCTTTGCTTTTCTTTTTCTTTTTTTTTTTTTTTTTTTTAAAGATTTTATTTATTTGAGAGAGAGAGAATGAAAGAGAGAGCACATGAGAGGGGGGAGGGTCAGAGGGAGAAGCAGACTCCCTGCCGAGCAGGGAGCCCGATGCGGGACTCGATCCAGGGACTCCAGGATCATGACCTGAGCCGAAGGCAGTCGCTTAACCAACTGAGCCACCCAGGTGCCCCTGCTTTTCTTTTTCAAGATTGCTTTGGCTATTTGGGTTTTTTCTGTGTTCCATACAGGATTTTAGGATTATTTGTTCTAGTTCTGTGAAAAATGCTGTTGATACTTTGATAGGGTTTGCATTAAATGTGTAGATTGCTTTGGGTATTATAGACATTTTAACAATATTTGTTCTTCCAGTCCATGAGCGTGGAATGTCTTTCCATTTCTTTGTGTCATCTTCAATTTCTTTCATCAGTGTTTTATAGTTTTCAGAGTACAAGTCTTTGATCTCTTTGGTTAGGTTTATTCCTAGGTATCTTATTTTTGGTACGATCATAAATGGGGTTGTTTTCTTAATTTCTCTTTCTGCTGCTTCATTATTGGTGTATAGGAATGCAACAGATTTCTGTACATTGATTTTGTATCCCGTGACTTTACTGAACTTGTTTATCAATTCTAGCAGTTTTTTTTTTGTGGAGTATCATGTCATCTGCAAATAGTGAAAGTTTTACTACTTTTTTACCCATTTGGATGCCTTTTATTTCTTTTTTTTGTCTGATTAATGTGGCTAGGACTTCCAGTACTATGTTGAATAAAAGTGGTGAGAGTGGACATTCTTGTCTTCTTCCTGACCTTAGGGGAAAAGCTCTCAGTTTTTCCTCATTAAGGATGATGTTAGCTGTGGGTATTTCATAGATGGTCTTTATTATGTTGAGGTATGTTCCCTCTAAACCTACTTTGTTGAGAGTTCTTATCATGAATAGATGTTGTACTTTGTCAGTTGCTTTTTCTGTGTCTATTGAAATAACCATATGGTTCTTATCCTTTCTCTTATTGATGTGATGCATCACACTGATTGATTTGCATATTGAACCACCTTGCAACTCAGGAATAAATCCCACTTGATTGTGGTGAATGATTTGTTTAATGTATTGTTGAATTCAGTTTGCTCCATTCAATACTGGCCCTCTTTAATACCCATCACCAGGCTGACCCATCCCCCTACCCCCTTCCCTCTAGAACCCTCAGTTTGTTTCTCAGAGTCCATAGTCTCTCATGGTTCATCTCCCTCTCCGATTTCCCCCCCTTCATTTTTTGTTGGGAGTTTTTTGATTATTGACTTGATTTCTTTGCTGGTTTTCAATCTATTCAAATTTTCTATTTCTTCCTGTTTCAGTTTTGGTAGTTTATATGTTTCTAAGAATTTATCCATTTCTTCTAGGTTGTCCAACTTGTTCGCTTATAGTTTTTCATAATATTCTCTTATGATTGTTTGTATTTCTGTGGTGTTGGTTGTTATTTCTCCTCTTTCATTTGTGATTTTATTTATTTGGGTTTTTCAACAACTTTAGTTTTTCTGAAGGTCTTCTTATATTGACTTTTTGCTCTTGATTATTAGATACTTTTTCTTGCTTCTTCATATAGCTTAGAATTGTTCACTGTATCCAGATACTGTGTATAAATAAGAGACTGATATTGATGCTACTCCATGCCCCCCAGGAGCTCATCCTTTCCTCTTTCTGGCAAGTAGGGTCAGGGCCTGATTTAATCAGTCTAATCAGAAGTCGAGACGAGTCATGGCTGAGTTGCAACTTTAGTTATCCCAGTTTTCTTCTAGTTTCAGATGTCTTGAGAATGGGATTAGACCTCTCTCTTCATCAGGGCTTTGTAATTAGAGCTTGCTTGCTATTTTCCAGTCCCTTCCCCAGCTTCTCATGCTGTCGTGTCACTTAAATGCAGAATAAGTCCCATAAGGAGAATTGGTAAACTGGAGGGACTGCTGTCCCTCCAGATTTCAGTCCACCATGCAAGTTCATATGTAGCTATTACTAGTATTGATGGTTTCCCTTTGTCACAGTGAAGTTGCTTGCCCATGATTGTCTCACTCTTCTAGCCACTGGGCCCACACTTAGCAGTTGCCCTCAGAGATAGAAGTGGCCTATCTCTGCTTACCTGGGAAGGGCTCATTTCTCATTAGAATTGATTTCCTTTAACCTTCTTTGTGTCTACATTTCTTTTATGTCTTTAAAGAAAAATGTCATATTTTTTTAAGAAAATCAGGTGTTTTTTTCTTTGTTGTGGTAGGAATAGTGGTCTTTGATTTCTTCTATATTCTAATTAGAAGTAGAACCTCCTCCTGTTCTGACTTTTGAATAAATAATATTAAAAAAAAGTACACTGCCCTGATGATCATTTCTTACAATTCTTATTTTGAACCTTTTTCATAGTATAGAGTAGGGGTCAGCAAACTGAAAGGGCTAAGTAGGAAATATTTAGGCTTTGTGGACAAAGTGGCAAAATTGAGGCTTTTATGTAGGTACTTACAATACCATTTCAAATGTACCATTTATAGATCTAGAGACTATTCTTAGCTCACGGGCCATGAAAAAACAGATGATGTGGTTTACCAAGTTCTGGTATAGAGACAAGTGATAAAATAATTAAAATGTTTCGATGAACAAAAAGCAAGCAAATATCAGACACTTTTAAGAAATTAAATTTTAGGGAGTTCTTTGGTATACCATCTACCATGATATCTACAGTAGTAAGTACCAAAAATGATAATCCTGATCTGTCAAGACAAGTTGAACTTTTATTTGGTATAATAGAATTGCATAATAAACTTCAGAAAAGTATTTGTCAGAAATATATTTAACCATATGAAATCTTCATTTAGAAAGCCTCACTCATTCATTCTGCCCAGGTATTCTACTACAATATTGGGCGTATTGGGCAAATTTTTTTTTTTTTAGCTCTGACACTCAAAATGGGTCAATCCAGTGGAAAACAGACACTTAAAAGTATGAATGCAAGGTAGCGCATACCATAATGTAGGTTTGCACAGGCTTCCTCCATAGGGTAAGATACATAACTTTGCCTGGAGGTTGGGGAAAGGTGACCCAGAAGAATTCAGAGAGATGATGATGCTTTGCTAACTCTTGAAAAGGAATTAAGACTTTTTCCAGGTGGACAGATTTTATACACCCAATAAATGTTGCCTGACAGTTACGCTTAACAATTGAAGTATCACCATATTGTTGACTTGACTCACTCAAGGTCATTTTAGAAATGGTTTGAGTATGAGGAAAAAAACTTAGAAACACATTCTCTCCTTATATCATTACGTGCCTGTGTAAGCTTAAATGAGAGGTAGTAGGTAAGGAGCCTTTTGTAACTGTTTTAACAAACTGGTTATCACTGTGTGACATATTATAAAGTGATTAAGTGATAATTTAGCAAGAATAATTTAATTTCAGCTTGTCCAGAAGTTTATTGCTGCTTTTAAGTCACTGAAATCTCCAGTCTCTACTACAGATTTTTTTTAAAAAGCATTATAATTATTGTAGTAAGAATATTTCAAAGCAGAGATTTTCCTTTTTAGATTCTTTTTTTTTTTTTTAAGATTTTCTTTATTTATTTGAGAGAGAGAGAATGAGAGAGCACATGAGAGAGGGGAGGGTCAGAGGGAGAAGCAGGCTCCCTGCCGAGCAGGGAGCCCGATGCGGGACTCGATCCAGGGACTCCAGGATCATGACCTGAGCCGAAGGCAGTCGCTTAACCAACTGAGCCACCCAGGAGCCCTCTTTTTAGATTCTTTATAAATTTCATAGTTAATAAGGTGGGTGAAGAGTGACCATAAGAATTTTTACTTAGGGATGAAAAGTAGAACGTAAGGGGATAAATTACGTGTTTGCTAAAGAAAAGTATTGAGTTATTTAGGTATTCAGTTATAGCATGTTAATAAGCCAGTAAATCTTTTTCCAATTTCTGGAGAATTGGTTAGCTTAATGAAAAAAGCAACTGATCATTTTTTATTTGCCTTTTTAAGAATGCTCCTCTGGAGGTTACATTTTACCAAATTATTGAACACAAGCTTTATTGCGTAGGTAATAAGGATTTTTAGTTTCTGGTAAACAAAAGCTAATAGCACTTTGAAGTATCTAGGAGATACTAGATTTGGTAGATTATTTTCCATAACAAGCAAACTGAAACCCTTTATAACATTGATGCTTGATATATAACTTTACAAGAAAAAAGTTTTCTCTCTACATTTTTCTCTTAGCTTCTACTAAGTATCAGAATACATATTGAAAACCATAAAAATATCTATACTCATATTTAATAATTCTGACCTTGGAAAGACCGAACAGAAACAATTACCTACAGAAGGATCATCATCACATCTTTATTAGTGCCCTTCTCCCCACGAAAGGCCTGAGAGAACTCCATAGGAATAGGGGAATGATTGAGTAAATTTTGAGTCAATAGGTAATATATAGCCATTTAAAGATAGTAATGACGAACACCATGTAAAACATGGAAATGTTTATTATCTATTTTTTTTAAAAAGCAAACCTGGATACCACATTGTTCCACCCTAGGATACCACATTGGAAAATGAATGCCCAGGATCCATAGGCCATAGGTGCACTGAACACTGTTAGTACGCCATTCTGTAGGTTCCTGAATACAGTCTGATTCTTTCATGTGTGATGATCAGGAGAGATGAGTAAATCCAAAAGAGGGCTGAAAGTCAGTAGATGGCTCTTATTTGCACGATTTTCTATATGAGACAACTTTAGATGTTTATATTTGAGCCTTCAGACATTTCCTTAGTCAGTATTATGGATATAATGTTATTACCTGCCTCTTCCCCAAGATTTTACAGTGTTTGATCTTATTATTAATTGAGTGACTGTGAATCCTAAATGTACTGTGGCTTTATTTTCAGGATAAGGGAGATCTTGAAGGCATCTCGAAAATTGCAAGGTGATCCAGATTTGCCGATGTCTTTTACTTTGGCCATAGTGGAGTCCGATTCCACAATAGTCTATTATAAACTTACTGATGGATTTATGCTGCCAGACCCTCAGGTCAGTTTTGAGGCAACTATCAGTGAACAGTGAAAAAAAGAGGAAAATGATAACATGATTTTAAGTGCGAATCAAGCCATTTAGCTTCCTTTGCAATATGAAAATTCAAGAAAATTATGACCTGATTTTCACACCTCAGAAACTTGGCTGTTTTGTTTAAAGTAATATGTTCCTAGTTTCCACAAAAATAATTAGACTTTTTTTTTTTTTACTCTTTGGAGAATTTCATAGTCTCCCGGAGTACTTCATAAATTCATGATATTTGATAATTAACTGAGGTGGAATGTGAAGGCTTATAATAGCTTTAGCCAAAAGAACACTTCTTTAGAAAATGTTAAATTGGTTGACAGTTTGACAGGAAACTTTTAATAAAATAAATGTGTTATGCATGATTTCCTTATATACTTTGTTGGTGTATTTGGGATAATTACATTAAATATCTTTCTGATTTTGCTTTTAAATTACCTTATTTAATATTGGGGAAAAAGTCCATCCTGATCTTTTTTTTTTTTTTTATTTGCAGAATATTTCCCTTAGAAGATGACACCTATACTTCCTGATGCTTACTGTGAGAGTGGATTTGAGATCTGTCAGCCTGGTTCATCTCTTATCTCAGAGATAGTTAGGGTTGACTTAGCTGGTCCTATTCCATAAGTTTTTCTTTTTGAAGAATAAAACTTTCCCAGATAGAAGAATTTTTTTTGTTGATAAGTATAGGGTAGTTGCTCTAGAACTTTCTTACCTGGAGATAGTTTAATTACAGTTAAATACAAGTTGATGCTTAGGATGTGTTCAGAGGGGTGGCACACATGTGTTTCTTCTGTCGTCCACCACTCATAGCTGCCTCGTTGTTCATCGCTGCCCCTGCTAACACATTGTTGAGACTCCCCTTTCTCTAATTCAGCCCTCTCAGTGCCTTTTGGCCACTACAGCTAGCCTGCAGTTGCGTTTCATGGACACCTGGACACTTGGAGAGTTTGCTCAGTCTCCTTTTAAATCCCCAACAGAAAGTAACAGTTTTCTTTCTATTGGTTTTTATGTGGCATTTACTGTTGACTTTAAGTCAAAAGTAAAGATACGCTCATCCAGAGCATAAAAGTACATACATGTCTAGATTAATAGGGACCAGAGAAGTGCTACCGATTAGTTACTTCCTACCTAAGTAAAGGAAGTACTGGGCCTTCCTTTCCATTCTTATTACCACCACCCTTATTATATCATAGTTAGAATATTATGTGAGATAGTGAGAAACGGTGTCAGCTTTAAAGACATCTTTATTAAGTAGACCCAGTTATTCCACTTTTGTTAATACCTCTCAATTATGTTGCCTAAAGTATAAAAAATTATATGCACAAAGATTCCAAGTGACATTAATTGTTATAGCCAAAATAATAATCACTTAAAAGTTTTAGGAAGGGGTCATCAAACTTTTTCTGTAAAGGGCAGAAAAGAAATATTTTAGGCTTCACAAACCATACGGTCTCTCTTAAAACTTCTCAAATGTGCCGTTTGTAGTACAAAAATAACCATAGACAATATGTAAATAAATGGGCATGGCTGTGTTCTAATAAAACTTTATTTACAAATGCAGGGCCATAGTTTGCCAATCCCTGGAATAAGGAAATAGTTAATAAACAGATATAGATAGCCAATGAATGGTACATTATGTACTCATTAAAAATTAGTAATGAATAAATGAAAAACAAAATATTTAATTAAAAAAGCAAGATATGAAAGTGTGTGAATGGGTAAGATCATGGCTATAAATAACACACCAAGCATATAATAAAAGGGTGACAAGATAAATTACTAACTGTTCTTATAATAGGGTGGCAGAGCAATAAATGGATGACTTCATCTTTCTTTAGTATTTAGTATGTTTTTTCTTTATTTGTATTACTTTTATAATAATGTTTTAAAATTAAAAAAATATCTTGAGATCTATATTAGTTTCTGTCATTGTATAATATTACCACAAACTTAGCAACTTATAACAGCACACATTTAATATCTCAAAGTTGGGTCCAGTCAAGCCAGCCTCCACTGAGACTTGTCTGGGCAAGGTTCAGCTTCCTCCCTCGTGTGGTTGTTCGAAGCTTTCAATTCCCTGTGGGCTGTTGGACTGATGGTCTCAGTTTCTAAGGGGCTGTTGTCAAGAGGCCACCCTCCACTCTTTGCCACATGGGCCTTGCCAGCACAACTGGTTGCTTCCTCAAAGCCAGCAAGGGAGACAGTTTCAGCAAGATGGATCTCATAATCTTATGCAATGTAGTCAGGTACATCCTGTCACTTTTGCCATGTTCTATTGGTTAGAAGCAAGTCAAGACTACTCTAGAAAACAGCAGGAACAAGAATGGAAAAAGGGCAAAAAGTAAGAACATTATAAAATGGTGTAAAGCATCACTAATGGTCTGTAGTAGTTTTTGACTCCTTTCCTTTGCTCATATTTGAATTTCACTTTTATTCTTGATGCAACATCTTGGCAATTCCTTTGGACTCCCACTGCTTTCCCAGAAGGTCTGAAGATGTACCCATTCAGAACAATGTGTGCTTCTGTGACTCTGGTTGGCACTTTGCAGACCTAAGGATCCTAAAACAATTTATGATCAATTCTTGGGGTCTCTGCCATTTGATTCCTTTTGAGCCTTTTCATTACAGTGTGAGAAAAACAGTCTGCGTTTTCAGAAAGAAATGTAAGGCTTAATGAACTTTAGATTTGTATGTCCGATCTGGTGACCAGTGAGCCCCTAGGTTACTACAAGACCAGAAGTATCTTCTGGAGTTGACTCAAAAAGAGTGTTCCCACAGAAATCCTTAAAATTAGGCCTCAATCTCATTGTATGTCCTGGGATATCTCCTCTGTCTCAGAATGTTCCTTGTGTACTTTACCAAAGCTATTCGGCCCAAAGCCAGCCAGATGCCTGTTAATATGAATAATGGTCCGGAACAGTTTGGAAAGGGAGACAACCCAGCTGTGACTGTCTCATTTTACTAGGTAAAATGATTTCTCTTGTATGATCAAGTAACTGTGGAATTGCAGTTCATTTTGTCTCTTGTTAGACTATGGGCTGCTTAAGAACACAGCAAGGAACCAAGTCTTTTTTTACATCTGTGTATCCCACCACCTTCCACAAATTCACACACACTAGACTCTCAGTAAATATTTAGTGAATGAATGAATGTAGATCGTAGACTTGTTTAATTGCATAGTAGCTTTTACTCTTTGCCTCAAGGCAAACTAAAGTGATCCATTTGGACACCAGAGGGCAGTGCTAAATAAGCACCAAATTTTCAGACTCGAGGAGTAGGTCAGCTTGAGAAGTGGTGCTCTTGAAAATTTATTTTCAATCTGTGGGAAATAGGCATAAATAAAAAAACAAATAAGTTTTATGTGCTAACATTCCCCCCCCTTCTCCTTTCTGGCATGCCTCTAAAATTATACTCTACTGACATTAAATATGTGGCTTGATTCATGCACTGCTCAAAATACAGATCTATATTTAAAAATAAAAGCTTGTTTGGGACAAGGGTCAATGGGATGGGTGTTTTTTCTAGGCTGTGGTTTTGTTCATAACCATATGAAATGATGTATTCCATTTTTTTTCCTTGCAAAAGCCTAACTTACTAAACTTCAGGATCCTATTCCATAGCAAGAGTCCCCAGCTCTGAAACACTGAACTGACTACATACCAGTGGTGAAAGACATAGATTGCTGCCATCATAAACACAAACTTTTCCCATAACAGGGAGCCCTCTCTGGGTGGGAGCAGGAAGTGGGGAAGGACATTGCTGACTTCTCTCTAGTGCTGTCTTTGCCTTTGCTTTTTGGTGTCCCTAGTCAGTGTCCCCTCTGCACTGGAAGGGCTCAGTGGAACAATGGATGATCTAGGTCCGAGGAGTCCCTATTTGGAGGGACTATTTTTAGGAGTCCCTAACCTATTTTGCTTCCCAGGCCTCCGGGCCTCTCTAGATGAATGTGTTCCTAAACGGTGTTGATCTCTTGTGAAGAACAGGAGGGCAGAGGCACTTTGGAATTCTAAGCTCTACTGAGAATAGCAATCTCTGACAAAGTTCATGTAGTCTGCATTATTTTTTAACTGAAAACTTTTACATGCCTGGAACCAAATGACTTAACCAAAACTTCATGATGTGTCATCTTGTTCTGAGCCTTTTCCGTTCTGAATTCCTCTGAGGTCACATTTTCCACTGCGGCCCTAGCAGGAGGCCTTTTACTGGTACAGCCCAGTGTTCCTGCCAGAGCCTAGAGCTCTCTATAGAAGCTCTTTATTCAGCCGCCGTATTTATGTTTAATGTGCAGAATGACATTGTATCTGAACAATTAGTACCATTTTCCTTTCTTTCAGACCAGTAGCTGTTCCGGTCCTTACCACTCTCACTCCTGCAGCCTAATCCTTTTAATGACCTTTGAATAAGAACTGCTTGTGCTCACAAAGGAAAGAGGAGAGAAAAATCATGTGACTTACTGGGGAGGTGTACTCATAAAATGCTTAGATGATTCTGCAAAATTAAAAACCAAGTTAACCAAAATCAAACAAAGATTGGCTTTTTAGGTTTCTGGGTGACTGAATGGAGGTAATATTAGGAAGTATTTAAGTAAAGTTCACTTCATGCATTTATTAATTATCTGCAGACATTGCTGGGCTCCTTCTGTGTGCTTGCATGACTAAGGTAAATGTGGGATACAAAGGTTAATGAGATATGACCTGTGCCCTCAAGGAACTCAGATAAGCAATACAACTCTCCTTAATCAGAACTCTAAAAGGGTGTCAATGTGAGTGAGGAACACCTGTCATGCAGTGTATGTTTATGAAGTTCATGCATTTTACTTGGTGGTGAAGGGTTTCAACAACTTTTGGTAAATTAAACTGTTTTCAAACAATCATGGTATGTATATTTGTCCCAAAGGACTGAACACTGGAAGCATACAAAGAGAGATTATACAATACATCTCTCAGGACTTACTGTCTGGCTAGAAAGGAGAAAATCTATGTGTATGAGATAATTTGAGAGCATTTCAAGGCAGTGTTATATATGAATGCTGAGTTACCATTATGTGGAGCTGATATCATGTACTTGTTATTATTAACTTATTCTCCTCATTTAATAGATGGAGAAATTAGCACACCAAGTCGTTAAGCAATGACTTCGAGTAGTAGCAGGTGAGTGGATAATGAGGGCTAGAACCAGGTCTCCCAACACCTAGCTCACTGTTCTTTTCAGGATACCATACCACGTATGGTGCAGGGAAATATATTAACGTCAAAGAGCCTTTGGGAAGAAAAAGGTAGCTCCAGTTAGTCCTGGAGGGAGTTGGGAAGTGATTTAGGGATCAGTTAGATTAACTTCTTGTACTCTTGAACAAATGTGTCAAAATGTCAAGCTGTTTGTAGATAATTTGGAAAACCATATTCATAGGCAATATATTTACAAAGTTTTATTCCAAAGACCAAATACATTCATGTCCATGCTTTTCTGTTGGCAAACTTAAAATTACATTTAATGTTAAGTGAGAGAGAGAAAGAGCTCAGGAAGGTTCCCTGCTTGTTGGAGCTAAATTTTGTGCTGGCACAAAGAGTAGACTCTAGGAACTTTTAAATGATGAGAAAGGGTCTTACACCCTAAATATTCCCCAGTCCTGCTTGCTGTTGCTTGAAATCCTATCATAATTCTACTTCTTAAATATGAAACTTTGATCCAATTTAATTTGACAAACACTTTCACAGCACCCCATGGGGTAAGGCACAATACTAAGATTTGAAGAGACTATAAGCCCAAATATTTTATTATTAGACTCAACAGGTAAAATTAATCTGATAAATTGTTAAAAGAATTTCTAAATGTTTGTTCTCAGTTTCTGTACTTACTTCATTGCAGGTCGGCAATATTTTGTGGATTGATAGCCTGTGCAGACCACACTTTGAGTAGCGTGTGTTAGAGCTCAGGTGAGAAGTGATGAGAGCCTGAACGCCACCAGTAGCCAGGTATATTAGTCAGAATCCAGTCAGCTAGATTATGATGCTGTTGGTTCACAACCCAAGAATTTCCCTGGGAGAAATCTGAAACTGGCCCCATCCACAGGGGGCAGGGAGAAAACAAAAGAGAGACAGACCACTCCAGATTGGTAGATGGCAGTTTCAATAAGCAAGGGAACTTAAATATAGGGCTTATCTTGGGTGGCTGCAAGATGAGTAGGTCTCCCCACCCACCCTGCCAGAATCATAGACATTTCTATAGAGGCCTGAACTTGATTCAGTCACCTCTACCGTTCAGATAATTTCAACAACACATTGCTCTCTCAAGGTCATCTCCTTGAAAATGGCTCCCACTGTGGGAATGGTGGGCAGAGTGTACATGCCAAGGATAGGGGAGAGGGTGAGGAGCCTCCGATTACCTGATCCAGCTCTTGGGTCAACCAGTGGTCATGTCCTCTTGATGACATGTTGTCATAACCAGTGAATTAGTTTAACAAATGTTTATTTCTTGCTCACATTACAAATCCATTGTACATAGACTTGGAGTCCTTACTCTGGGAATTAAGTCAACAGAGCCTCTGCCATCTGGAATGTGGTCGGGCCCAGTGGCAGGAAGAAAAAAGTGTGGTAGCGTCACATACTGCAACTAGATACTTCCACCAAAAGCAACATATATCACCCCTGCCCACCTTGTCTCAGCCAAAGCAAGTCATGTGGCTGGCCATGATCAACTTTAAGAAGGAGAGGAAGTGCAAATTCTGCCATGTTCCTGGACTGAGGAGAAGAAATAGAGAACAGCATTTCCAGATAACAGGAAGGAGAGGAGAGATAGCAAGGAGGTAGGTTTAACAGCTGATTAGCTGTGGAAACGGGGCGGCAGGGGGGAGGAGGGGGCATTAAACCTGAAGCTGTTCTGAGTCTGACTTTAATGTGAATGAGTTTCAGGTTACAGTGGGAAGATAGAGGTCATTGCAAGAAGGACAGGGCGCTAGGCACAACCAAAGTGGGAAAAGGGCCAACTTAGGAGGCTGGCAAGGAGGGGAGAACTTGGAAGACAAACTTTTACCCACTGTTCTGCTCAGGTTCTGGATTTAGTATCTGAGCTAAGAAGGGAAATACTGTATGTATCAGGAATCTAGGATCACTGTAGACCTACTCTTCCCCTCTTCCATGGGTTGTTACACAGAATATGTTGCCTGGTCTTTTCTTTAGTTCCTAAGAATGAAAAACAAAAAAAGAGCACTTGTGCCTACAGTGTAGGGGGTGTAGTTGAACCCTGTGAGACTATTTCTGAAGGAAGCTAGCTAAACATGGGTACATGGATGGGGCTGGGTTTGTGAGAAAGAACCCAGGGGGCTTCTTTTCTGGGATGGAGAATTATCTAGTGGGATCATGAACCTGAACTAT